GGAGAGACAGACAGAGAGAGCCAGGGAAGTGGGCTAGTATATAGCTTTATTACTAGTGTAAGAAACAGAAATGAAGTGATTGGATCTAATAATTATAACAAGTGTGGCTTATTATTCCAAACGCTATAGTAATAGGATGACTCAAAGGTTCCTGTGCTCTAAAGGGAGCCATTGCCTCTTAGAATGAAGAGCTATCAAGTCAGTTCTCCCAAGGGAAGTCTTCATTCACTTTTGATCAATCATTACAGTGAACTAATTCTTAGAGGAGAACTTTACATGTATGAAACTACTTTTACACATTATTTATGTCATTTACAGTTTTAGGTTTATTTTCTAAACATAAAAGAAAACACAATAAAATTATTCTTCATGACATCTACTTAATACGTTTAATCTACCTTGTTTTGTAAAACATACTGAATCAAAGATTAGAATGAATCGTTACCTCCACACCCATCTCTCCAGGAAGCCCAGCATCACCAGGCAGTCCTCGTGCTCCCTAGAGTCAAACAAATTGAAGAGATGAGAATCAAAGTTTACTTTTTAAATAAACAACGCATCTCAGTTTCATTTTAATGAATACTATCGACTGGCATATTACTTTATTCCCTAGGTAAATAGAATTATAACTTTAGCTGACCCATCTGTATTGTTTGATGAATGATGTTAAACTATGCCTGTAATCAAAATAAAAGTAAAGGATACTATTACATTTTATTCCCTAGTTCACTCATTCATTCAACAAACATTTATCAAATACCGTGCTCCCCTAGTTGTCTTTAACTGTGGGCTTGTCTATAGGGGGCTGTCTTGGTTTTTAGTTGATAAGGAAGTGCTCAGTCTATTACGGATGACACCATTTCCTAGGCAGGTGGTCCAAGGTTTTACAAGAATTCGAGCTGAGCATAAACCTGTAATGGAATCAGCAAAGAGCATTTTTCCACGGTTTCTGCTTCCAGGTCCTGCCCTGACTTCCCTTAATGATAGACTGCATCTGCATTCTGTAAGTTGAGATAAACCCTTTCTTTCTCTAAGATGCTTCCGGTTAGAACGTTCTATCACAGCAACAGAATGAAGCTAAAGCATTCGCTAAGGGCTTTTTCAATCTTTATTTAAGATGCATGACAGTCACATACCTAATTAATAACCCTGGCAAATATGTGACAAATAAAAATATTTTAAAGGGGAAAATGTGATTTCCCCCCCTGTCTCTATAGTCTTGTTTTCCTCAGAATGTCATAGTATACAGCTTTCCAGTCTGGCTTCTTTCACTCAGCAGTGTGCACTTGTGGTTTTCCTAGGAATATTTTAACTTGCTAGCTCATTTCTTTTCTTTCTCATTCTTCATTTTTTTTGCCAAATAAATGAATATAAGGAAATATATTCATTCTTCTTACTTTAAGGTTCCCCCCCGACCAATACATGTCCTTCACAAAGCTTAGGGCTTTCCCCTCTATCCCAGGTTTTCTAAGAGTCTGTATTTTATTTTCTACCATGAGTGAGAATGGGAATTTGTATTTATAACACTGTATTTTCTTCTTCAGACTACTAAGGTGATGGATTACATAGGTTGTTGAGTGTTAAACTCCCTTTACATACCTGGAATAAATCCTGCTTGGTCATGATGTATAACACATGTTGTTACATCTGACCTGATACTATGCTGAGGACTCCATGCCTATGTTCCTGAGTGACATTGGTCTGTGTCTTTTCCTGTAACGTGTGTGTCTGTTGGTCGTGGGACAATTCTGGCCTCCTGGAAGGATCCAGGAAGAAGTCATTGCTACTTCCAGCTCTTGTCTCAGGCTACAGAAAATACCCACATTTGTTTGCTAAATGTTTATTAGACGCTGTTAAGGAGATCACCCAGGGCTAGTGCTTTCTGTTTTGGAAAGTTATTGGTTATTTATTTAAGTGGTTAATCAACGTAGACTTATTCAAGTGATCAGTTTTTAAGTGGTTTTTGTTAAAAATAGTCTATAATATAAAAATAGTCTATAATAGCTGGTTAATCATATCTAAGTTACAGAGTTTGTGGACTTATGAGCTGTTCATCCTTTTAATTTGCATGTGATCAGCAGTGATGGACTCGCTTTTGTTTCTGAGATCAGTCATTTGTGTTTACTTATTATTCTCTTCATTATTCTGCCAATGGATTGAGGAAGTTTTTCTCTTGTTTTATAAGAACAAGAGTTTGGGTTAATTGATTTTTTCAATTAGTTTTTGGCTTTTATTTTTATTACTTACTTTATTATGCTTACTCTATAGTTAATTTTCTTATTTCTAATCGGAAGTTAGGCTACTGATTTGAAACCATTTGCCTTTCTAATATTTCTTTTCTAAAATTTTAAGAACTGTTTCATTTATTTTTTATTTTATGTGTGTTGGTATTTTGCCCGCATGTATACTTGTGTAAAGGTGTTAGATCCCCTAGGACTGAAGTTACAGACAGTTGTGAGCTGCCATGTGGGTGCTGGAAATTGAACTTGAGTCCTCTGGAAGAGCAGTCAGTTCTCTTAACTGCTGAGCCCAACTATCTAGCTTCTCTAATATTTCTTTTAAATTTTATGTTACAAATTTCCTTCTAATTCAAAATTTTTTAGGCTGTATTTTCACTTTAAGTTAGCTAAGATATTTGAAAGCTTTTCTTATGAGTTTTGTTTCACCACTGTTGTAGTGTGTGTGTGTGTGTGTGTGTGTGTGTGTGTGTGTGGATATGTGTGTACCATAGTGTTCCTGTATATGCTAGAGAACAATTAGAAGGAGTTGGCTTTCTCCTTGCACTGTGGGTTCCAGGGATTTAACTAAGGTCATCAGGCTTGCCCTCTTGTCCCCTTTTATGTACTGAGCCATGGAGCTGAAAGGGGATTTTATTTTTTAACACTATTTTATTTAGACATGTGTTTTTAAACATCCTGAAATTTTGAGATTTTTCAGCATGTTTGTATTTTCAACTTAATTCTGCTATGGTCTGTGAGCAGACATCATATTTTGTTTATACTTTGAATTTGTGAAGATGTATGTTTTAGCCCACAATATGGTCTATATTGGGGAATGCTTTATGTGAGCTTCAAAAGAATGTGTATTATGTTGTTGAATGAAGGTTTGGTTTTTTCTTTTGGTATTTATAGAAATTTACTCTATTTATACAAAATGTCCCAATTCCTGGACATTTGTGTTAAATTAACCACAGACCTTGTCCCTATACTCACTTGCCACCACAGAATTAAGCAAAGGCTAAAGAGAACGATAGAAGATCTGAATGACCAAATGAAATAAAAGGTGGATGGGCACCAAACCTTTCTTGAAGGGTTATCTGGTATTTTGGGTTGTGTTTTTGTTTTGTTTTGTTTTGTTTTCTTCAACCATTCAACATTTCTGTCACAGCTTGCAAGTAGTCACACACAGTGTGACAGTGTCAGAGGTACTTGATTTACAAGACAGTGATGGACTGCCAGCTTCATTTATTTTGCTCTCTCTCTCTCTCTTTCTCTCTCTCTCTTTCTTCTCATTCTTATTCTTTTCTACCAACATTTTGAAATTTTAAAAATTTAACTCCAGTCTTACATCCACTACAAAAATAGTTAGAGGAGACCATTGTTTGGGACTAAGACTTTTCATTAAGCCCCAACAGAACAGAATGGAAACACAAATATTACAGAGCTACCACACTGAACCAAAGGGAAGCTACAATCTGGCCTTCTGAGAACTCAAGGAGGGATGCAAATGTCCAAATCAGCCACTCGCAG